CAGAGACCATCGAGAGAAAGGAATAGGGATCGTAAAGAATATTCGTCGTTCAGAGGAGTGGGACAAGCACGTTGAAAGAGAGTCTGGCGTTCGGCGACCTAGACGAATCCGACATTTCAAGTGCCCGAAGATAGTCTTCAAATGTACGACATATTTTGAGATGGTCAGAATGAAAGTTGAGGTGAGTTTATAGAGCATGTATAACTATAGTGATATTGTAATTATGCAATGGTTTGATTTCCAAACCATTTGACGATACTTTACCATGTTAAGTGACCATGTTAAGTGATCGGCAGACTTAGTAAGTCTGCCGATATTATGCTTTTGCATCAAAATCTGACAAACGAAAAGTAAGACTGTGCGTTCATTCTACTGAACTAGCAGAATGCAGAATTTGTTAACTAATTTGCTGAGTCTACCTAGTCTGTCAAATATACCACGAACTCTGTCCCTGTTTCAGTTATATTATTATTACACTTGTATTACGATTTACCGATCAAATAACTAATTTGCCCTTCATTCAGAAAGAGAACGGTCCGGTTCCAATGAAGATATTCTTCCAGACGTACGACAATGAGTGGGAGCGAGTAACGTGCCCTCCCCTCCTCTCCGTAATGTCAAGTGCTGAACTGGAAAAGATACGGGAAGCCCCTCTGGTTTGTAGGATTCCTTGCCATAGTCAATCTGTGGAGCACACTGTCGCACTTGTGTCCCACGCTGTTCAACGACGACGGACTGAAGACACTCAATTGATGAGTGTCCTCCAGATAGGAGCTGCACGGAAAGAGTTTTCGGGTAGAGTAACGCACAAGCGGTACAGAACTGATACAGACTCGACTCCAAAGTCGAAGAAAGTTAAAGATACGCCCTTTAACAGGGAATTATTTAAGGATTTCGATTAATAGACTTAAGATTAGTGTAATCTATAAACTGAAAGTAGATGTTAATAAACTTTTGATAGATACGCACTTTTGGAAAATAGTATTACTATTATTATTGAAATACTGTTCTGATAATCAAAGTTTTGCAAATAAATGAATTACGAAAAGAGTAGTTTTTAATTTTGTCATAGTATTAGCCAAAAACATGATTATACATTTTTTTGTAGAACATTAGAGCTTCGGTAACACGTCTGAGGCTCTAATAGCTATCATGAAGTTACCTTGAGAAATGTGTTAAAAGTGTCTTTTGAGCAAATTAGCATCATGAGTTATGTTGTTTAATAAGCCTAGGGGCTATTACAAATTAGTATTACAGTCCAAATAGTTTTGAAGCTACTTGTTCGATCCACCACAAGTTACAAATACATGATTATGACACCCCATCATGGGTGGCCAGGTGGCCTGCAGACCCTGGGTAGCACGAATTTTGTCACTAAATGGTGTGTTATTTGTATTCAATTCAGAGGAGATTAGCCAATTTCAATCTAAACTCATAATGATAGACCCTCTGACAAGGGCAAAGCGTCATATATACGCTACAAACTCAACTAAATGGTAATGCCAGAAAAAATAAATCTATGGGTTCTAATTATTATTATTAGTATTAGTATCATAGGTAAATTCTCGTGCTTACTCATTACATAAGAATAATTTATTAGTATAAAAGCGTGATGAATGCAGATTAGCATATAAAATTCACATGGCATGACCCAATTCATAATATTAATATTATGTTAATATGTTTCATTACCTGGGGACCTCAGCTTTTGTGTTTATAAACACTGAAAGTGAAACACATTTAGCATTAAAAACGCCTAGTAAATATAGAGACTGCCGTAACTCTTACCGTTTTCTTAATTAAGCCGCTCGGAAATGACAGACAGACAGACAGACAGACAGACAGACAGACAGACAGACAGACAGACAGACAGACAGACAGACAGACAGACAGACAGACAGACAGACAGACAGACAGACAGACAGACAGACAGACAGACAGACAGACAGACAGACAGACAGACAGACAGACAGACAGACAGACAGACAGACAGACAGACAGACAGACAGACAGACAGACAGACAGACAGACAGACAGACAGACAGACAGACAGACAGACAGACAGACAGACAGACAGACAGACAGACAGACAGACAGACAGACAGACAGACAGACAGACAGACAGACAGACAGACAGACAGACAGACAGACAGACAGACAGACAGACAGACAGACAGACAGACAGACAGACAGACAGACAGACAGACAGACAGACAGACAGACAGACAGACAGACAGACAGACAGACAGACAGACAGACAGACAGACAGACAGACAGACAGACAGACAGACAGACAGACAGACAGACAGACAGACAGACAGACAGACAGACAGACAGACAGACAGACAGACAGACAGACAGACAGACAGACAGACAGACAGACAGACAGACAGACAGACAGACTTAAACGAATAACGTAAGCTCACTTATTAATGATGCTGTAACTGAATTGTCCTTAGATTTCGTGGCAATTCTGCACGCTTCAACAATCTTCGGTTTCTGTCCAATGTTTTGAAAAATCTCGCTAACTGTGTCAATAAGTTCTCTATATATCTCGCTCCCTTGTGACGGACCAAATACAATGACGTTGCGACTGCGGTCCTCTTCCTCAACAACACGTTTTACTACGCTTTTGAGCGTTTCCAAGCTTATGACTTGCTCAGCTTTGGCTGTGAATTCTTCGCCATTGAACTGTATGTTTGTGTTTTAGGTGAGTCAACAATTAACAGTATATGTCTTAACGGCGTTCTTCAACATTTCAAGTTGTCCAGTTTTACAGTCCGAAAGCTCTGCCTGAGTTTATCGGATAGCTTTATTCGGACGTTATTTTACCCGTACCGCAACCGGAAATAATGTGAACGGGCGTAGCCATAATTTTGAGAGGACATTAAAATAAACGTGACCGCTCAATGCTCTATTTACTAACAATTTAAAACGTCCGCCAAAATTCGAACGGATATTAAAATAAACGTACATTAAAATGAACGCTAGTGCTTAACTTGTAGCATCTGGCATTTGCAACTATTAACTTATGTCCGTAAAAATAAAGTCCAATAAGGACAAATTAGCGTTATTGATCATGCAATTTGAGCGCCGCCTGGTAAATATATAAACCGACACAATTAGTATACAGTACAACTACAACAACTGAAAGTCTAAATTGAAGTCGAACATTATTTGTAAAATCGCATGTAGCATGATGCCTGCAGGCCTGCTCCTGCTGTACACTGTACAGTACAGTGTACGCAGGCGAGTACAGAATTAGTAAATTAGCGCACGCGGCACAAGGCGGATTTTATTTATTGGAATCAAATATTTTGCAATAACTTAAACGAATAACGTAATTGCTCATTTATTAATGATGCTGTAACTAAATTGTCCTTAGATTTTCTGGCAATTTTGCACGCTTCAACAATCTTCGGTTTCTGTCCAATGTTTTGGAAAATCACGCTAACTGTGTCAATAACTTCTCTATATATCTCGCTCCCTTGTAACAGACCAAATACAATGACGTTGCGACTAGACTGCGGTCCTCTTCTCGACAACACGTTTTACTACGCTTTTGAGCGTTTCCGAGCTTATGACTTGCTCAGTTGGCTGTGAATTCTTCGCCATTGGACTGTATGTTTGTGTTTTAGGTGAGTTAACAACAGATGTCTTAACGGCGTTCTTCAACGTTTCAAGTTGTTTAGTTTTACGCAGTCCGAAAGCTCTGCCTGAGCTTATCGGATAGCTTTATTCGGACGTTATTTTACCCGTACTGCAACCGGAAATAATGTGAACGGGAATAATTTTGAGCGGACATTAAAATAAACGCGACCGCTCAATGGTCTATTTAATTACAATTTAAAACGTCCGCCAATATTCGAACGGATATTAAAATTAAAATGAACGGACATTAAAATGAACGCATTTGGCATTTGCAGCAACTATTAACTTATGTCCGTAAAAATAAAGTCCAATAAGGACAAATTAGCGTTGCCGTTATTAATTATTGATCATATTAGTTGTACAACTACAAATAATATTTTGGTATTCCCCTGCATGTGTCATGGTTCCAACAGGAAAATATTTCAATCTGCAATCCGAGTAGAATGTAAATATACTGCGATCTCTGATATATAGTTATACTGAAACATAGCCTGAGCTGCAACCGTTCACCACTACAATTAGTGCATACCTCAATACACATTACGGCCGGATCAGGATAATGCGATCCTGAGGGCTATAATTATTAAAAGGTGTTCTCACGAGATCTCCGACACATGAATTCTATCGATTCACCATTGAGTATGAATCAGCAATTAAACTACTGAGCTTACATATGCAGAATGATGGATGAGCACATATAATTGCCTGCTTCATAGTTTGTTCACCCAATCTATTCACCCAATGTTATTGTTAGTATCAAAGCTGTGTTAGGACCATTTTCAAAAATATTTCGCCATCTATACTGTCACAATGTAAGTTTTACAATGGTACAACCTCCATAAAAATCTAAAAAAATCGGATAAAACCAACCACACTAGTTAATAGTATGAAATTGGTTTTAATTAACTGTTTAATTTTATTTTTGTCATAATACTTTAAAATAATTCATACCGTAAACGCGGTTCATTTTAAAATTTAAATTCTTAAGCATGATTATAATATTATAGCACTTTCAACATAGTAAATAAAATAAGCCACGCTGCAAGCTCAAAAATTAAAAGTAAAGTTTGGTTTTTAAAATTCAGTTGTATTTGTTAAGTACAGGATTGTTGTTTATTTGCTTTATTTTATTTCTGAAACATTTTCAAATGACTTATGAATACAACTAAATTCATATTTATGAATTTTAACTTTATATTTAATTCTTGCGCGCGGCTCCCCAATTAATTTTAAATTTTGAATCACTTATGAATCGAGCGCCAATCTTCACGCCATATATATTAGATTGTTTGCTGCATTTATTGTCTGTCACCCTCCTATGTATTGACCAGCGGGGTTTGTTTTGTTTAGTTCAGACTCGCTCAGAATTTTTCTTGAAATTGTTGTTTTCTTGCTAGTACGTAGCATTAGCAGTTACCTTACAAGTTTTAATTTCTTGTTTAGTTTTGCAATGTCAGCCAAGGCCAAGGATTATTTCTATCGGATTTTTTGTAAAGAACCTTCGTTTACAGTGTGATCCACCACTAAAGTCACGCATTGGCTCTACTAAATAAAGGTATTTTTGTTGTTTGATCATGGATTTGATTTGAATATTTAAATTAACTTACAGCTTTACTGATGGGAACCTTTTTGGGAAGTACATTAAAGCAAAATCTCACTTTGATTGTTAATCCAATCTAATCCACATATTTTAACTTGTGCAACTGTTAATACCATTATGATTCATCTTGGACCACTTTGTTTTCGAAGGAAACACACAAATATTGTAAAAAGGGGCTTAAACTACTCCTCGGGTAAGAAGCTTTTCTTTTCAAATTTTCGTTCAGGTGGGAAGAGTTTACAAAGATGCTGAGGAGTGTTAAGAGGGAGATGAGCATTCACAGCTTGATAAAGGTATTACTTAACAACTGCCTACTTGTGATTATTTAAAAAAATTATCTGTGAATATATTTTGATTTTAGATTCCAGAAATTCGTATTTAACTTTAACTGTCTTGGTCAACAAAATTCCTTTAGGGACAAGGAGCTCTAGACACAAAGTGACATGTGTCAGGCAAGAGTGTCAACAGCAGAAAAAAGGTGGAATATTCTGATTAAAAGATGAAGTCAATTAAGGTTTGTCATTCAGATAATTATGTTAGAACATATAATATGGTTAGAACATATGGTTAGAACTATCGGGGAAGCCAAGGGGTATTATAGGGAATGCCTTAATTGATTTTGTTTACACAAACCAGTTTCAGTCCATTTTGCTGGATGCTTCAGTTGAAAATGCTTATGACTTATAGTTATTAAAAATTTGGGTTTTGTTTGTATATTGCTTCTGTAAGATCTGATGTTACTTGGCATGAGTACTTGTACTCTAGGTCAGACATCAAACTTAGGTCATATATACCGAGACCTCCTTCTTTGACTGGTAATGCAAAGAGTTTTCTGCTAGTTTCGTCGGTTCCAAAAGATCTATCCAATATTGCTGGTTTAAAGTATTCTTAAATTTTGTATTCTAGTCTTTTAAGGTGTTGACTGATGCCAGGTGTTGTTCGGCATACATAATTCCATCTTTAAGATAACCCATAGTTGAATGCAGAATAAGCTGCCTGAGGTTCCCTTTTAGCAATATCTGCTAGATCTTTAATGTCGTTATTCCATTCATCGACTTTTCTCTCCACAAATGATTTTGTCCCCTCCTCAGCTCAGTTCCAATGAATGATCCAAGATATCTGTGCCCAACCTCAGATACCTGTATATTTGGGAACATTTTTTCAGCTTTCTCTTTGCAATGTGGTTTTAACAATGAGCCATGTCTTGGCTGCCTTGGGATAATAGCCCAACATTGGCCCAGTTTCATTGAGTTTTTCCCACCATCTAAAAACATCATCCAATTTTTAGAATCCTTTAGAATGTTGAGTTGTGAGCTGCACCTATTTGCGCTCTCGTGATTAGCAACTACAGCACTTTACAATACAGTATATCTCTGCTTGTGAAGAAGCTAAATGCTCAACTTGGACATTTAAATTTTCAAAATGATCATATTAAGGGGGCAGGGGGGTCTTTATGAAATTTCTCTCGAAATTGATTTTATAGTTGTTTCTGATAGAGGGGAGTGATATCTACTAGTTGTTTTTAGTCCCATGGAAAAATTTTGTTCCTAGCCGAAATTATCGCCGGCCAAAGGTCAGCGCTCATGTGTAATTGTATTGCACGAGCGATTTTCAATCGCGCACCCTGAAAATCGAGTCTAAAAATCTATCTTTTTTTATCTGTGCTCTGCGTAATGCATCACATGAATCAGTTTTTAATCTTTTAACTTATTACACATTTGTGCTATGCTTTAGGATCACTTGACTATTTAAAAAAATTGTTTGTTCAGGCGACCTTATAGTCAGCCAATTGGCCATTGCTGAAATTGAATGTAATTTATTCATTCATTATTATAATACAAAAAAAATCTATGTTCTCCTACATTTTTTGAGCAATCACCTTGAAACTTTCAGGGTATGTTCTAAGGACCATTTAGAAACTTCTGGTCTATCAGAATTTTAAGATAGGCCTTATAAAAGTTTTTATTCGATTTTGAAAATCTTGGACCTGGAAAAATCGTCAAAAAACGAGGTCCAAGATTTTCAAAATCGAATAAAAACTTTTCTAAGGCCTATCTTAACATTCTGATAGACCAGAAGTTTTTGAATAGTCCTTAGAACATACCCTGAAAGTTTCAAGGTGATTGCTCAAAAAATGTAGGAGAAGATGGATTTTTAAACGCGATTTTCAGGGCGCGTGATTGAAAATCGCTCGCGCAATACAATTACACATGAGCGCTGACCTTTGACCGGCGTTAATTTCGGCTAGGAACAACATTTTTCCATGGGACCAAAAACAACTAGTAGATATCACTCCCCTCTATCAAAAACAACTATAAAATCAATTTCGAGAGAAATTTCATAAAGACCCCCTGTCCCCTTAAATTGGGTAGAGCGTAATGTCAAAGTATTCCAGTAGACTACGGTCTACGAACCATCGACTTGTAAAGCATGAGCTGAAGCATTATAACTGGTGATCTGGTTTGAAAGACAATGAAAACCCAGGCAGTTTTTTGTCGAGCCTTGTTTGCTATGGTGGGCCGTGGGGTTGCCAAGATTGATCGTTGGAGACGAGAACCCCGAGGTCTCTTAGTTGGCCTACAGGTGCGAGTGACTTGTCTTTGGCTACCGAGTACTGGTACAATTCACTAACAAAAGGAAGTTTGACGAGAGCACTGCGTCGAGATTGTGTCTGTGACACATATACTCAAACTTGTCTTTGTGTAGTGCCACATTTTTCGTTCAGACCATTTTATGACACTGTTCAAGTTGTTTTGTAAGACAGATATGTCTTGTTCACAGGTTATCGAGATCGAAACACCAGTGTCTTATAATGGATTCAGTTATGCAATGTTCGATAGTTGAGCATTTAGCTCCTTTGGAAGCCGAGATATCTTGTATAAAGTGCAGTGCTGTAATTGCTAATCGCGAGAGCGCAAATAGGTGCGGCCACATAATTCAACAACCTAATGTCTCAGGACTTTGAAATTATGCCTCATTCTCTATATATAGTGTATAACGCCATAGAATAGCATCTGTAAACAGTAAAAATACATACTAGGCACAGGTGGTATTTTAGTAATTTTGGAGTATTTTGGGGAATGCCTTAGTGGATTTTGGAAATCCCCCATAATATAGTACCCCTAAATACCCTTTGGCTTCCCCCTATATATACTTTCCGGTTTAAAAAATTTACTACAAGAGAAAAGGTGTCAGCAAAGAACCAGACTTTCATATCAATTTGTCATTCTTCGAAGTTCCATACAGACACATGAATAAATTACATGTATAAAATATGTATTCATCTTTATTTATTCAATAACGTGCAGTTAAATACTTTAATGATTTACTTTTACTCATTGCGGTCTGTTTGTTTACTTACTCCTACCCTTTTTAACTACGGCAGTGAAATCCCGGGTTACACTAGTATCTTAATAAATTGCCTTACCTTATTATAAAAGTATAAATTTGTAACCCGAATTCTCTTCCTCAGCGTTCACAAATTTGGTCAATTTGACACGAACCGCTGTGTCGACAAGATAAATTCGCACAGCAAGGACAGCGAAACACCTGGTTTGTTAATATTACTTAAATTTGCTTCCTCTTGCCCTTCATATTTAATTGGTCGCTGGGTCAACCTCAATATCCACCTTTGTACTTTATGAATATTAAACAATCAAGAATGGAAAAAAAAGAGATAAACCATAATTAATCCACCTTTTTATCCAGGCTACGAAGTTCTAAAGAGTAGCAGCCGAGAAACATGATTTCCCCTAACGAGTGGTCGCAGCCGACAGCTGGAATTATGATACTAAGATTGCTGAAGGACTTATTTGAAAACAAAAAACGAGTTACATATTGGATATTATGATATCAGTCAATTTTCAAGGGCATATGATAAGACTGGCGATATCTGCAGAACGTATAATATTTAAAGTTTGTGACAATTTTAGATTCGAAACTCTGTGTAATACTTCTTTATATATAAGGTTCACTTTGAAATATAAAAGCGTTTATCGTGTAAGCATTTCGAAATATCAAACTACTAAAAATCATTAAATTAAAATCAACTTCTTAACGAGCAAGACTATCGTATTATTATCATCGGATTGGTTTTTATACAATAAAAAATCCTGTCATATTACAGAAACTGAAAGCCTAGTTGGTGGTCGTATTGTTATCATCGGATTGGTTGAAATGCCCTCAAATTATTTCATACAATTTGATTGTTATTTTAATCAATGAAGAAAAGTGAGTTTTCAGAAACTAGAATGTACTACAAAATACGTAGTTTAAAACCTGAATTTAGGCTGTCTGGTATTATTAGGGCTGATAGCTCAATTGGTAAAGCACCATGCATGTAACTCGGAGGTTCACTAGGTTGGCGGATCATACCAGGCACTGTGCCGGCCTATGATTTTCCGGATTGCTACAAGTGGAAATCTAGTCAATTCAAATATCTGCTTGCAGATACAATCACAGCCCAACCAACGACTTCAGTCTTCATCAGACCGGCCCAACTGACCGATTCACCTACATGTGCATACGCCATCTGGGAGCCGTCAGTTTAGCTTGACTCTTGGGCTGAAAACATCGTTACAGTACTTCGTGAGTAGTACAGTACTTCACAACGATAGTCGCCTCCCCAACAAAATATCGTATGTCATAATGTTACAGAAACTTAATATAAAGCATAGTGCGGTGCTCGTTGGAATGTCGTATTATTATCATTGGTTACGTTTGGTTGATATGCCCTCAAAGAATTTTAATTGTGTATTAAGGTTAGAGGTTATGAACAAATGGAAAGTGGCTTGTATATGATTTACAACCGGAAGTATTCATGCTGTCCGGTTTTTGTAATCGAGTTACCATTTGAACGGCGACTGGCCCACAAGCCAGATTGAGTCAGTAGTCATGTCTGGGCTGACTTGGTAGGGAGCCATGTTGTATACTAACATGTCCAGCCACTCCGAAGTGCAAAATGTTTCCAGGATCTGAACTACTTGCTCCATACACCATAGCAATTTTTATCAATATTAATCGATTTCAGCTCAGTCCAGGGTATTATGAAACAATGTTCATTATTTGCGGGAAATATTTCACAACTGGATGGAAATAATGTCCGCACATATGCCACCTATCATACCAGAGCAAATCCAACACAGTTTATGATAAAAATAAACAATAATAGCCCTTAAAAACATCGGTCGACCTAAAGTTCTGTCAAACTTTCACAAATTCTCGGATATTTTACTGTGCCATTTTATATTGTATTTTACGGACGAAATGATCCCAGGGGGGACTCCCAACCCACCGCTTCGGCGGGTAGTTGATGCACCGTTCAGAAGCAAGACCCACTCCTATATATCCGGTCTACTTGCTGTCAGGTGTCTCAGCTACATGGGTTGGGGGTCCCCCTTTTTTTTTATACAAAAAATTTCTCGGATTTATGTAGCACGCGGATACCAATTTTATATACCGAGGAATGAATTTTACCATATTAAAGACAAAAGTAAGCGCGGCGCGACGTGCATCCAACTGTCATTTTTAGGCGAGTTTAACTCTCATAAATAAGATGGCTATTTATCCTGGATTCTTAAGACAGATATTTAGCCTGGCTACGGCGCGCCAACCCTCATATTTAGCTAGCTTAAGAAACCCTATTTAGCCTGGCTAAACTGCGCTAGCCTGGCTAGATTTTTTGTAGGGAAAGGGTTAACGCCATCGGGCCATCCTGGCCTAGTGTATGATCGCGTCGCGCGGGGAGCTTATAAAAGTCTTATTCTCTATCATTAGTTCTTACCATTAGTTTTATTTAATCATGTTTAAGGAAGAACTTATGGTGAAAAATAATATTTTTACCGACAGACTTTAATTTTTCACAAATTTGTGCTCGCAGCAATCGAAATGTTAATGCATAATGAACATATTTTAATTCTTTAATAGGTAGTATAGCTCAACAAAATGAGCTATACTTTGGATTACAAACTGTAGAGTAATAGACACTCTAATAAACTGTCAGCTATCTTCCAAGTTCACATCTGAACCCTAAAACAGGTAATACTAAAGTACTAACTGTCTCTAGAAGTAATAACGTCCCTTCCCATGACCCATCAGGTATCCTTTACCATTTTATATTGTTACTGATCGAGTATTTTCAGAGTTTAGTTACTAATATGCACTGGCGCGGCGGTGATTCTAGCCCTCACCGGGACCCAGAGTCCAGAACAAAGCTTAATATTCTCTCATCCATACTCATTATTCAGAAAACTTGCGAAGCTAACGATTTGTATACACTTGCAACGTTTACTATTGAAGTAAACCTTCTTTATAACATTCCAAGATGCCCTGTATAAGTACCCATTAGACGCCCCCAAGATAAAGAACGAGATTATTGGGGCTGCTTCTTATCCTATAACGGATCTTAAAACAATAGAAGAGAATAGGAGAGCAGCAGAAGCAAGGATTTTCTTCACTTTCCATTGTTCTCTTTCACCTGCACCCCTAAGCTTGTGCTCTTAGTCTAGCTCTTGGTTACTGGACTTAGCTTTTAACATTCGACATGAGAAACCCGATGTGCTGCTATTTTCTCAGTCGATTATCCAGAATTTGGGGACAGTCAGCACTTTGAGCCACGCTTGATTTTAGCTATCTATGTCCAAATAGACAAATTTTGTCCGGATTTGGATCCGACTCTGCCTCTAAGACTAAAGTATTTAATAAGACTCGGTTCGCTTTGATCATTGATGGAACCTTTACTTACCAAATTAAGAATTACAGTTTACTTGTACGTACCGCTTTTATAATGCGAAGGTACTTTTATTAATTTATTTAAAACAGTTCTAGTTAACAGTTTGCTAACTTATTTACACTGCAGTTGTATCAGTATGTGAAACTGCTAGATAGAAATGAACATATTCATAACCTGGATATTCCTCTTTGTGGCAGTTTCGGTCTGCTCGAGCTTTAAAAAACCTCCTAATATAAATATTAGAGGGTCAGCGAGAAGACGTTCATCAACTTCCTGTAAGTTTGTTCGATTATTAATTCTTTAATTGAATTAATTTTAAATTTCAACCCACTGCATCATGTTTCTAAATCCTTGAAAACTTTAACACTTCAAATCGCGAATCAATCTTTAAAATTATAATTATCATTATGGTTCGACACCAGTTGTTCGGACACGTCTCAAAGTGACGTAGTCATGAGGTAGGTATACAGTCAGTTGATAGATAACGTCAGTGGCGTAACGAAGGACCCCGCCGCGCTGACCCCGCTGTGCGGGGGGAGGGGGGCGCCGTCTTAGGGGGGAGCCAAATCGTCGTTTGAATGTGGGACAATTTCAAAAACGTAACTAAAGTACTAGCAAAACTGCGCGTTTTGCTCTAGATACACACTTTTTTAGAGATTTTACCGTTGTATAGTTATACTCTAAAATCACCTAATTTGTTCAATTTTAAGGAGGGGCACCAAAATGGGAGGGGGCGCCAACAGGGGGGCGCTTTTTCGGGGGGGGGGGGGGGCGCCAACAGGCAACGTTACGCCACTGGATAACGTAACTAATTTCAGTAAGAAGGGCAGGATAATTGTTACTGACAGTAATTCACAACCTTATATAGTTTTAATAATAATTTGGGTCAGTAGTTCGTAACTTACTTAATGATTAACGGGTGATACTCGTAAAACTAAAATATTTGTTTCTGCACTTTCAGGACCGTCAACAAGTCCAACTCGGCGCGCGTCCTGGTAGGTTATAAACCTACAAACCTAATGAATATTGACTATTCAGGTGGAGCAGTAAACGGAGGTTGGTCTGTCTGGAGAGATTGGAGCTCTTGTTCCTGTGCGAGTGAGAGTGATTCTAGTGGAACACGAACTACCTCCAGAACTTGTAATAACCCCACCCCGTCCTGCAGAGGTAGCACGTGTGCTGGAGTATCAACAAAGTCAAAGATGTGTGAAATGAGCTGTGCTCCTGGTAGGAATTTGTATTTTTAGCGGAAGTCTCGAAACCTTTACAGTAATTTTACCAAAACCCATAATCATGGGTAGAGTGGACCGCTGTCAGTGTCTCTCTTTCCCAAACAAAAGGAAATGATATTAATTTGATTGACCGTTCTCAAATGCAAAATGATACCGAGAATGAAATCGGTCGCTCGCTTTTCCCATTCATTCACGGCTTACGAATTGTATAATTAAGTTTCGATTGATTACATCAATCAGATGCTGTAACAATCTCTTTGGGGTAAGGGACAAGGGTGGTAGTTATTACTTATTGAACAAGCTGAAGTTTATTGAATCTTCATTGCCGAGTACAGCTGCCTTTGGGTAGTTCTTCTTAATCTATTACAATTGTAAATGAATGGGAAAAGCGAGCGACCGATTTCATTCTCGGTATCATTTTGCATTTGAGAACGGTCAATCAAATTAATATCATTTCCTTTTGTTTGGGAAAGAGAGACACTGACAGCGGTCCACTCTACCCATGATTATGGGTTTTGGTAAAATATCATCTCTTTTTGATTATAATGTCAGGGTACTTTATAAAGTCGAAATATAAACTGATATCTTCATTAATAAGGAGGAAGTTTCAACGATTTCGAAATTTTTCCTTTAAAAACATTTCCTTGTATTTAGGGAAGCATATCGGTCGATCACTGACTGAATATGCCACTTAATACTCATTCAAGTTGGCATTAAATTCATATATAATGACATTAAACTGTCGTGGCAAAGCAGAATTTGTTGGAAATCACGAATGAGCAAAATTCTCACCTTTCGCACGTGCAAACTTTGAGCGGACGTTGCGTGCGCATCCAATATTGAATCGCCGTAAATTTTTGCATGTAATTGTTTTATATATAGCTTGATAAGCATGCAAAGTTTCAAAGTATTTCAAGAAGAACTGTAATCACAACGGCACTCTAAAGTTGACAGAAAATGACGAAAACAGCAATTTAAAGTGATTTTAGCGATTTTCTATCAATTTGGGCGTGTCCCCACGTGTGCAAATTTTCGATTTTCAACTTTAAAACTAGCCTAATGCATAATTTATACCTATAGAAAGCAGAACTGAGCTCCACAACCCAAGGCATGGCCCAACACCAGAGAATACTAAATCGCAAAATTGACGTTTTTATAAAATAATTCTTCAAAAAAGCACAAACTTCAATGACGAATATCTTTATGAAGGAGCAAGCTAGAAAAACTTTCCGATAGATTTTCAGAATGCTTGAACAATTATCTAAGATGAAAATTTACTCAGATTTTGAATAAAATTACTCCTTAATGGTTTAAAATTAATTTTAAAAGTTATTACTTTGTCAAAAATCAAGTTTTAAAAACGGTTAGCTTGATGACGTCATCAAGGGGTGTTTATGACGTCAAATAATTTTTTTATACAATGTAAACTAAAGTATAAACAATTATTTGCAAGATCTGTGGTCGGGAATGGCTGTATCTTTTATACTTTTGAATCTATGGACACTTAAATACAGGCTACAATTGACTGGCAAAGCGTCTATCCCTGAATATATGTATATATATATATATTTTACCAAAACCCATAATCATGGGTAGAGTGGACCGCTGCCAGTGTCTCTCTTTCCCAAACAAAAGGAAATGATATTAATTTGATTGACCGTTCTCAAATGCAAAATGATACCGAGAATGAAATCGGTCGCTCGCTTTTCCCATTGATTCACGGCTTACGAATTGTATAAACAATAAATAAGTTTCGATTGATTACATCAATCAGATGCTGTAAAAATCTCTTTATGTTGCGTTCGGGTCGATACCTAGTATTTCGGGGTAAGGGACAAGGGTGGTAGTTATTACTTATTGAACAAGCTGGAGTTTATTGAATCTTCATTGCCGAGTACAGCTGCCTTTGGGTAGTTCTTCTTAATCTATTACAATTGTAAATGAATGGGAAAAGCGAGCTCGACCGATTTCATTCTCGGTATCATTTTGCATTTGAGAACGGTCAATCAAATTAATATCATTTCCTTTTGTTTGGGAAACAGAGACACTGGCAGCGGTCCACTCTACCCATGATTATGGGTTTTGGTAAAATATCATCTCTTTTTGATTATAATGTCAGGGTACTTTATAAAGTCGAAATATAAACTGATATCTTCATTAATAAGGAGGAAGTTTCATTTTTCCTTTAAAAACATATCCTTGTGTTTAGGGAAGCATATCGGTCGATCACTGACTGAATATGCCACTTAATACTTATTCAAGTTGGCATTAAATTCATATACAGGGTGAGTTGAAAATAGTGTGTAGAATGTAAATGGCTCTAATTTTTTTGATAAATGAAATTTCCACTTAATTTTTGCATATTTAGGTAATGAAAATATATAAATATTATAATAATACAATAAAAATACTTAATAATTAATAATTTGCTCAACCCATCGTCCTTTATTAGCTAGGACATGTTGATAACGTGTAAGACAATTGTCTATAGCCGACTTGACTGTATTAAGGGGGCAGGGGAGGTCTTCGTGGAAATGTTCTCAAAATCGACTTTTAAGTTGTTTCTGATAGAGGGGAGTAATATTTATCAGATGCTTTTGATCCCATGGAAAAATATTGTTCCTAGCCGAAATTAATGCTGGTCAAAGGTCAGCGCGTGTATGATAATTGTATTGCGCGAGCGATTTTTGATCGCGTGCCCTGAAAATCGAGTCTAAAAATCTATCTCCTCCTACAGTTTTTGAGCAATCACCCTGAAACTTTCAGGATATGTTCTAGGGATCATTTAAAAGAGATGAGCCAGACATAATTTTGAGATAGGCCTTCAAATAATTTTTATTCGATTTTTAAAATCTTGGACCTCGTTTTTTTATGGTTTTTCGAGGTCTACGATTTTCAAAATCGAATAAATTTTTTTTAAAGGTCTCTCTCAAAATTCTGTCTGGCTCATCTCTTCTAAATGATCCCTAGAACATATCCTGAAAGTTTCAGGGTGATTGCTCAAAAAATGTAGTAGGAGATAGATTTTTAGACTCGATTTTCAGGGCACGCGATTTGAGAACCCCATTAGGACGAATTTACGAATTTTTGGAAAACTGCCAAAAATCAACCAAATTATGAGTTAGAATCAAATGAGAGGCAAGAATGAAATTTGTAACGTTTATAAACTGATAGCAATTCACCTTTCAAAATTTGCTCCTTCATAAAAAAGTTATCGATTTTTACATTCTACACACTATTTTCAACTCACCCTGTATAATGACATTAAACTGTCGTGGCAAAGCAGAATTTGTTGGAAATCACGAATGAGCAAAATTCTCACCTTTCGCACGTGCAAACTTTGAGCGGACGTTGCGTGCGCATCCAATATTGAATCGCCGTAAATTTTTGCATGTAATTGTTTTATATATAGCTTGATAAGCATGCAAAGTTTCAAAGTATTTCAAGAAGAACTGTAATCACAACGGCACTCTAAAGTTGACAGAAAATGACGAAAACAGCAATTTTCAGTGATTTTAGCAATTTTCTTTCAATTTGGGCGTGTCCCCACGTGTGCAACTTTTCGATTTTCAACTTTAAAACTAGCCTAATGCACAATTTATACCTATAAGAAGCAGAAATGAGCTCCACAACCCAAGGCATGGCCCAACACCAGAGAATACTAAATCGCAAAATTGACGTTTTTATAAAATAATTCTTCAAAAAAGCACAAACTTCAATAACGAATATCTTTATGAAGGAGCAAGCTAGAAAAACTTTCCGGTAGATTTTCAGAATGCTTGAACAATTATCTAAGATGAAAATTTCCTCAGATTTTGAATAAAATTACATCTTAATGGTTTAAAATTAATTTTAAAAGTTATTACTTTGTCAAAAATCAAGTTTTAAAAACGGTTAACTTGATGACGTCATCAAGGGGTGTTTATGACGTCAAATAATTTTTTTATACAATGTAAACTAAAGTGTAAACAATTATTTGCAAGACCTGTGGTCGGAAATGGCTGTATCTTTTATAGGTACAAATCTACAGACACCTGAATGTAGCCTATAATTGACTGGCAAAGCGTCTATCCCTGAATATATGTATATGTATAATATGTATGTATCACGACAATCTGTCGTAAAACAGGGGTTCTAGAAAACCCACTTCCCGATGTTCCTGAAACCTGAAACTTTTTTTGCAGTCGATTTGGTCAACGTCTAGACGCCCTGAAAAATTTCAGATCTCTAACTCGATTTTAACATGGTTTTTAAGACACCTGAATATGGCGATTTTGGGTTTTTTACCGAATTTCGTATAACAGTGCTGGCGAGTATTTTATGCAAATTTCTTAAAAATCTCAACATAACTATTTTTTATTCCTGTCATCTTTGACATCAAATTAGAATGTTTTGAACTAAAACTAAATCTGCTGAACGACTTCCGATGAGTCTTAATGCCTGAAAAACTCCTGCCGGAGGCGGCGGCCTTCGGCCGCCGCCTCCGGCCGGAGTGCACGCTTCGCGTGCACGAAAGAGGCTTGTAACGTGTACCAAAGAGGGTATAATAGTAAAGGGGGTATAATAGTAAAGAGGGTATAATAGTAAATGGGGTACATAGTATACCCACAATAAATGCACCGGTCGTGCTTGCCAGCACTCATGTGATGTATATATCACGACAATCTATCGTAAAACAGGGGTTCTAGAAAACCCATTTCCCGATGCTCCTGAAACCTGAAACTTTTTTTGCAGTCGATTTGGTCAACGTCTAGACGCCCTGAAAAATTTCAGATCTCTAACTCAATTTTAACATGGTTTTTAAGGCACCTGAATATGGCGATTTTGGGTTTTTTACCGAATTTCGTATAACAGTGCTGGCGAGTATTTTATGCAAATTTCTTAAAAATCTCAACATAACTATTTTTTATTCCTGTCATCTTTGACATCAAATTAGAATGTTTTGAACTAAAAATAAATCTGCTGAACGACTTCCGATGAGTCTTAATGCCTGAAAAACTCTTGCCGGAGGCGGCGGCCTTCGGCCGCCGCCTCCGGCCGGAGTGCACGCTTCGCGTGCACGAAAGAGGCTTCCGACGAGTACCAAAGGGGTTATAATAGTAAAGGGGGTATAATAGTAAAGGGGGTACAATAGTAAAGGGGGTACATAGTATACCCCCAATAAAGACACCGCTCGTGCTTGCCAGCACTGTGATAGACATTATTTTCTATTAGAGACGTGGAATAGTTTCATAACTGCTATCACAGTGCTGGCAAGCACGACCGGTGCATTTATTGTGGGTATGCTATGTACCCCCTTTACTATTATACCCCCTTTACTATTATACCCCCTTTACTATTATACCCCCTTTGGTACACGTTACAAGCCTCTTTCGTGCACTCCGGCCGGAGGCGGCGGCCGCCTCCGGCAGGAGTTTTTCAGGCATTAAGACTCATCGGAAGTCGTTCAGCAGATTTATTTTTAGTTCAAAACATTCTAATTTGATGTCAAAGATGACAGGAATAAAAAATAGTTATGTTGAGATTTTTAAGAAATTTGCATAAAATACTCGCCAGCACTGTTATACGAAATTCGGTAAAAAACCCAAAATCGCCATATTCAGGTGCCTTAAAAACCATGTTAAAATTGAGTTAGAGATCTGAAATTTTTCAGGGCGTCTAGACGTTGACCAAATCGACTGCAAAAAAAGTTTCAGGTTTCAGGAGCATCGGGAAATGGATTTTCTAGAACCCCTGTTTTACGACAGATTGTCGTGATACATATATATATTCAGGGATAGACGCTTTGACAGTCAATTGTAGCCTGTATTTAATTGTCCATAGATTCAAAAGTATAAAAGATACAGCCATTTCCGACCACAGGTCTTGAAAATAATTGTTTACACTTTAGTTTACATTGTATAAACAAATTATTTGACGTCATGAACACCCCTTGATGACGTCATCAAGTTAACCGTTTTTAAAACTTGATTTTTGACAAAGTAATAACTTTTAAAAATGATTTTCCACCATTAAAAAGTAATTGTATTCAAAATCTGAGGAAATTTTTACCCTAGATAATTGTTCAAGTATTCTGAAAATCTACCGGAAAGTTTTTCTAGCTTGCTCCTTCATAAAGATATTCGTCATTGAAGTTTGTGCTTTTTTGAAGAATTATTTTATAAAAACGTCAATTTTGCGATTTAGTATTCTCTGGTGTTGGGCCATGCCTTGGGTTGTGGAGCTCAGTTCTGCTTCCTATAGGTATAAATTGTGCATTAGGCTAGTTTTAAAGTTGAAAATCGAAAAGTTGCACACGTGGGGACACGCCCAAATTGATAGAAAATTGCTAAAATCACTGAAAATTGCTGTTTTCGTCATTTTCTGTCAACTTTAGAGTGCCGTTGTGATTACAGTTCTTCTTGAAATACTTTGAAACTTTGCATGCTTATCAAACTATATATAAAACAATTACATGCAAAAATGTACGCCGATTCAATATTGAATATAATATTGCACGCAACGTCCGCTTAAAGTTTGCACGTGCGAAAGGTGAGAATTTTGCTCATTCGTGATTTCCAACAAATTCTGCTTTGCCACGACAGTTTAATGTCATTATATATGAATTTAATGCCAACTGGCAACTTGAATGAGTATTAAGTGGCATATTCAGTCAGTGATCGACCGATATGCTTACCTAAATACAAGGAAATGTTTTTAAAGGAAAAATTTCGAAATCGTTGAAACTTCCTCCTTATTAATATTAATGAAGATATCAGTTTATATTTCGACTTTATAAAGTACCCTGACATTATAATCAAAAATAGATGATATTTTACCAAAACCCATAATCATGGGTAGAGTGGACCGCTGCCAGTGTCTCTGTTTCCCAAACAAAAGGAAATGATATTAATTTGATTGACCGTTCTCAAATGCAAAATGATACCGAGAATGAAATCGGTCGAGCTCGCTTTTCCCATTCATTTACAATTGTAATAGATTAAGAAGAACTACCCAAAGGCAGCTGTACTCGGCAATAAAGATTCAATAAACTTCAGCTAATTCAATAAGTAATAACTACCACCCTTACCCCGAAATACTAGGTATCGACCCGAACGCAACCCAAAGAGATTTTTACAGCATCTGATTGATGTAATCAATCGAAACTTATTACAATTCGTAAGCCGTGAATGAATGGAAAAAGCGAGCGACCGATTTCATTCTCGGTATCATTTTGCATTTGAGAACGGTCAATCAAATTAATATCATTTCCTTTTGTTTGGGAAACAGAGACACTGGCAGCGGTCCACTCTACCCATGATTATGGGTTTTGGTAAAATTAAGTACTCATATTTTAACAATGCTTCTATATTTATATTATGATGAGTATACTCTGACCTAATAGTTGTGGTGGAACGTACACAGGCAGCAAAACTGTCACGAGTCAACACTTGTATCGTCTCTCCGCCATTATCCACATTTATAAGACGTGACAAATAATCTGTGTCAATTGTCCAGTAGTATATAATAGAACATTTTGATTTCCTAATTTTTTTATTATACAATATTTATATTATTATAATAATGAGGCTTATATTTCAGAGGAAGAGGAAGTTGTTGTAATTCATTGTCCTACTGATTATCCCAACGTCTACTACAACGGACAGTACTGTTGTAAATCCAACATGGAGAAGTTCTACGAGCCTCAGGGTGCCCAATGTGACGGCAGTGTGATTCAGAGAGACAGTTTGTGTTGCGCGGGAGACCAGGCCACGTCGTGCCCCGGTGGAAACTGTGAGAGCAACCCAGCACCCACACCAGGTGAGTTGGTCGTATAATTAGTATAATTAGTACAATTAGTATGATTAGTATAATTAGTATAATTAGTATAATTAGTATAATTAGTTTATAAGCTTCAAATCTTGATATCCTTTAATTCGTCTGGAGAGAGAGATGCAAGTTGATCTTACGGACTTAGTAAACAAAAAGGGCATTTTAAGAGAAGCACCGCATCTAATAACTAATTGCTAGGTGCTTTTTTAAGAGAAGCACCGTATCTAGTTGCTAGGTGCTTTTTTAAGAGAAGCACCGTATTTAGTTGCTAAGTGCTTCTTTAAGAGAAGCACCGTATCTAGTTGCTAGGTGCTTCTTCAAGAGAAGCACCGGGTGGGCGACAATTGACCCCCCGACAATATAATTTAATACAATTAACCCTGACCCTGACCCTGACCCTGACCCTGACCCTGACCCTGACCCTGACCCTGACCCTGACCCTGACCCTGACCCTGACCCTGACCCTGACCCTGACCCTGACCCTGACCCTGACCCTGACCCTGACCCTGACCCTGACCCTGACCCTGACCCTGACCCTGACCCTGACCCTGACCCTGACCCTGACCCTGACCCTGACCCTGACCCTGACCCTGACCCTGACCCTGACCCTGACCCTGACCCTGACCCTGACCCTGACCTGACCTTGACCCTGACCCAGGACTCTGACCCTGACCCTGATCCTGACCCTAAGGCCTAACCCGATCGATTGACCCCAGTGAAATTACATGGGGGTCAATTGTTGGGGGGTCAATTGTCGTACTAAACCCTAGATTTCGCGACTATTGACCCCAGTGTAATTACATAGGGGGTCAATTGTCGGGGGGTCGATTGTCGCGGTACCATATGAGGGAGTTTATATCAACAGGGGATCAAACAAACGATACTGACATTCAATTTTAAATGGTAGTTTACATATTATTATTGTAAAGTCAGTTAACCAGGTAATCCCCCAGATAAATGTCAAGCTGGTTCATATCGGGACTTTTCTCAAACAGACTGTACAAGATGTGAACAGAACTACATCAGTGAACAAGATGGAGCTGGAGAATGTAGTCCTTGTTCTCCGGGAACTGTCTCCAACCAACAAAACACTCTGTGTGGTAAGGAATCAAGTATCCTTTTTCCGGAGCAATGGTTTCCCGTTAAAAATCGAGGCGCAGTAGTCATTTCAATTTTTTACCTGGGGTCCTAGAGGTATATTCCAGGTTCCTTAAATATTCGTTAATCTCAGTATATAGATTAAATTATCTAATTGATCCCACAGATAAATGTCAAGCGGGTACATATCGGGACTCTTCTCTAACAGACTGTACAAGCTGTGAACAGAACTACATCAGTGAACAAGATGGAGCTGGAGAATGCAGTCCTTGTTCTCCGGGAACTGTCTCCAACCAACAAAACACTCTGTGTGGTAAGAAAAGAAGTTATCTTTTTCCTGAGCAATGATATCCCGTTAAGAATTTCAAAATGTGCAAGTCATTTCAATTTTACAAGTGGTGCAAAAGATGTATTTCTTGAACGTTTATTAAATTTAATCGCAGTATATAAATTGAATTAATCAGTTTATCATCCAGATAAATGTCAAGCTGGTACATATCGGGAGACTTCTCTAACAGACTGTACAAGCTGTGAACAGAACTACATCAGTGAACAAGATGGAGCTGGAGAATGTAGTCCTTGTTCTCCGGGAACTGTCTCCAACCAACAAAACACTCTGTGTGGTAAGAAAAGAAGTTATCTTTTTCCTGAGCAATGATATCCTGTTAAAAATCAAAGTGCACTAGTGATTTCATTTTTAAAAGTGGTGCAAAAGATGTGTTTCTGGAACGTTTTTTAAGTTTAATCGCAGTATAATATAGATTATAGGTTAAATTATCTAATTGATCCCACAGATAAATGTCAAGCTGGTACATATCGGGACTCTTCTCTGACAGACTGTACAAGCTGTGAACAGAACTACATCAGTGAACAAGGTGGAGCTGGAGAATGTAGTCCTTGTTCTCCGGGAACTGTCTCCAACCAACAAAACACTTTGTGTGGTAAGAAAAGAAGTTATCTTTTTCCTGAGCAATGATATCCTGTTAAAAATCAAAGTGCACTAGTGATTTCATTTTTAAAAGTGGTGCAAAAGATGTGTTTCTGGAACGTTTTTTAAGTTTAATCGCAGTATAATATAGATTATAGGTTAAATTATCTAATTGATCCCACAGATAAATGTCAAGCTGGTACATATCGGGACTTTTCTCAAACAGACTGTACAAGATGTGAACAGAACTACATCGGTGAACAAGGTGGAGCTGGAGAATGCAGTCCTTGTTCTCCAGGAACTATCTCCAACCAACAAAACACTTTGTGTGGTAAGAAAAGAAGTTATCTTTTTCCTGAGCAATGATATCCCGTTAAGAATTTCAAAATGTGCAAGTCATTTCAATTTTGTACCTGAGGTCCTAGAGGTATATTCCAGGCTCCTTAAATATTCATTAATCTCAGTATATAGATTAAATTATCTAATTGATCCCACAGATAAATGTCAAGCTGGTACATATCGGGACTCTTCTCTAACAGACTGTACAAGATGTGAACAGAACTACATCAGTGAACAAGATGGAGCTGGAGAATGCAGTCCTTGTTCTCCAGGAACTGTCTCCAACCAACAAAACACTCTGTGCGGTAAGGAAAGAAGTTATCAGCTATCTGGGAGCGCAGAACATATTGTTTGAATCTGATCAAAAATGAGTGATTCTGTGAAATGATGCTCGGACTAACAAATTCTAGGTTTGTTAAAAATATTTAAATTTCAGAGCCTTGTTCAGAGGGTACCTACAGATCTGAAGATATGACAGCATGTGCAGTTTGTGGTCCGGGGAAAGAGATAAACGATAACAGAGATGAGTGTGGTATGTATGTATAAGTTCCTTGTAAAAAATAAAACAGCAACATTGCTTAAATCGATCATAAAATTGCTTGACTTCTGCAGAGAGCAGTGTTCCCTCATAATTTAAAACTAACAACCTCAGTGCGGTTCTGAGTTCCCTCATTAAAACTAACAACCTCAGTGCGGTTTTGTGAAGGGCTGCTCGTGGAGAACTCCCAACTGCTGAGTAAAGAAGTGCGTGCTGTGGAGAATACAGTTGTCATGGTCACGTGTCTAGCAGGCTTCTCTCTGATTGGCTCAGAGCAGGTCTCGTGTCAAACAGATGGAACCTGGACAACTGTACCAACCTGTCACAAACGAGGTGAGACTTTGAATTGTAGAGCAAACGACATCCAACTATTTATTTATACCACTACGACCACTTTATAGGGGGGGGGGGGGGGCACACCCCCCCCACTTTATACCACATCACTGACATGACAGACACACTGAATCGAATACCTGGTTCTAAGACAAATCACACTATATTTTAAGCGAAGCTCAGAAAAACGGTATCACCCGTTTTTCTAGCTGATAGCCATGTTGTTCTGTAATGAGGCTATTACAGAACAACGTGGTGATTTTTATGATATTCAAGTTTTTACGCCCAACATTTTAATTAATTACAGTGCCAGGGTAACTAGCACAAGAGTTGCAATTAAGACACTTTACTTTAATATTTGTTAATTATCTGAAACTTATTGTGATTCAGAAAATTGGATACCAATCAACCAGATTGTCTTACTTATTATTTAAATTATGTAAATGATTGGTCTTCGAGTAAATTTTTCATACACGAAACTATTAGCGGCCTTCGGAGGTCAAATAGAAATTCGTAACTGTTTTGCTGCTAATTTAACGTCTAGAATTAAGTTTTTATTCAACTCCTGTCACTTTATTACCTAAGTTTTTATTCAACTCCTGTCACTTTATTACTTAAATAAATCAATGCTATCTTATATTAGTCAAACCTTTTCACATTTATAATTTTTATATATTTTTCTAGAAGTAATATTGTGCACTGTGCAGGAGTGCCCATCGGGGTTTATAATTTAAAGCTGATTATGACGTATTTAATAAATTTATCCATTGGAGGCACTCCCCTAGCGAGGTGCTTTCGATCTTTCAGTCGTTTATAAACAGGTCAAGAATGCCCTACATTAAAATCTCACGGCGATTTTTCTCGGTTTCTTATTTAATTCGGACAAGATAAATGAAGGATCTAATTTCAGTTAACACTTTTTAGTTATCTGTATTTTAATTTTCATGTAACAGTAACAACGGATTTTCTTGTGTCTTTTCATAAAACAATGTCAGAGGAAATCCCTAAAAATGTAATACAACATCACCCTTGAAAATGGCAACTCGTTAATTTGAATGCCGAAATAAAAATGATAAAATTAACATGACTCTGAAAAGCAAGTGGCACTGAATGGGAGAATCCTCCCCTAATGCTACATAAAATCATTTCACGTATATAAACATCTTCCAGAACTGACATATAACTTTTTCTTTATTCGTTCAAATACTCATTACTCAAGTCCGGTCAATAAAAGTTCGTCTTCGGTGAATGTGATGACCTCCAGGCTATTAATGAGCAAATAAATTATCTGATGATAATATTATACTGTCATCCAGCTACTTCTTCGGGCACTTCTTTAGTTCCTGCGGGGATAACGGAAATTCAACTAAAATGAACTATTGTAGTAAATCTTTCAAAGTACGAAATATCTGTTTAAAAGAGCATCCTAGGCACCTTATAGATATCAAAACGCATAAAAAAGAAAACAAAAACATCAACCATCTTCTAACTTCTTCCACTCCTCCCTATCTAAAGCTAAAAATCTAAGGTCTTCGAAATCAGTCAAATTCTTAAGTCTAATATCAAGATTTCTACTAGTCAAGTCTTTTCTAATAACATCTAATAAGTTTAAACATGGTCTACCCCGTCTCTCTTCCATAAAAATATCAGAATTTATAGCAAATAACATAGAGGTGTATGTCTAAAATGAACTAAAAGATTAAAATTCATGCAGTCAGATGACCGGTTTAAAAGGTCGGAATTTATTATGAAAGATGGTTTTGTGATCGGAAAAAAAAGAACAATCCATCAATCAAGCTCAATACAATGCACAAGTTCGATTGGAATGTTGATATAGTGCAGTCTGTCGTCTGTCTGTTATCAGTAACCTTAATATGAGTTAATTTCGCGACTATTTGAGAGCGTATTTTACCTGTTAAGTCAAGATGACATGTGTTATCACTGTGCTTTATCATTTCATTACAATTAGCTATCTGATACATACTGTCGCTAAACTCAAACTTGTTCGAGAAGTAACTGAACCGAGTATTTACTTGCACCTGAAATTGTAATTAGTTTAAGAGGAGTTATTCTTCTCTAACAACTTAACAATATACACTCAATCAATTAGATGAAAATTAATAAAGTTGAACAAAAACGTATAACAGTACAGCTATCATCAAGAAACCCCAAAATATCGTCAGAAATAAACATGAATCCGCTAATTTGTAATTTGTAATTTGTAAGAGAATTATTTCGTGCCCTGACATTGCTTTTGACGACGAAGCTCCCAAACAACAACCTTAATTGGGCATCATGTGGGTAAAAAACACCTTGGCATTGGGATATCACGTGTGTCAATAACACCCACCTGGAAGCCGAGACTGTATTTGATAAGACAGCAGTAAGTCCAGATATCATCAGACCCCGTTTCCTTGTTGAACTCCAATGTGATACTGTAGTTGAGAGGGGAGACTTTGCGGGACGAGATGGAAGGGTGAGTTAGGTTAACTCCGTATTCTGTGCTGTTCTTTCCCACCTCTCTTTGCTGGTACTGGTAAATGTGGTGCAGTTAGATTTGCGAGAGAGTGAGATTATATCTTGCTCCTTTATTTAACGTGTAAAATATTTGTTCCAAGACCTTAGACCGTCGACTTTTATAAGTAACCACAGAACAAATTAATATCAACGTGTCCGGAATCATTCGTCCAGAGTCTGAATATTTTTTTTATTGAAATCTTTCAAATCAGTCAATTACATACAAGTTTACACAATGAATTAGTTAAATATAATATTGTCCTCTAAGCATGGATTGTCAAAGTTGAAATTTTCTCGGACAAAATGTATGTAACCAAAGGACCTGAGGGTCACCAAAACACAGATATTGAGTGCAAATGCAGCTCCTGCACAAGCATGGGCCCTTATGAATACATAATGGTTTATACCTGTACAGTTATATCGATTCCATCCAAGTAGGCAACAAAATAGTTAGAATTCTTTACATTGACAGTGTCTTGCAGGACAAGCTTGGTGGAATTCTTGTCAATGTCCGCGTATATTATCTTCAGGTTGGTCGAAGTAGCGCTCACCTGAAGGGTGAAGTATTTAACCAACAATAAAACACTGCGGTGTATAATTAACATTATATAATGTATATAATGTTTGTGTACAATGTCTGTTGTATTGAGGTAAAACACGTACACTCTACACTTAAGCCACACTACGACATAAAATCTACAATAAAGCGTAAAAGTTTGTACGTGCGCGCAAACAATATCACAATAAAACGGTTCGGCGCTGCGCGTTACGTACCGTTCGTGGATAAAATAGAACCACCAGTGTTCCAGTGAGGGCTAGAAACAATATCACAGCTATTATGATATAAATAGCAGTACGAGAAGGGGCGAGCCTTTCATCCCCGTACGATATCACTGCAATACCCTGCAAAGTATCTTAGATGAGGAAACGGGAAAGTTGTGACATGGTCACGGTTGTGACATGGTCACCGTGAAATATGAGAAGGCGTTGTTCCAAGCTTACAGGCAAGTTGAATGTTGATTAGAGTATTACATTAGCACATTATTCCAAGTTGCTACACAGAATAGCAGAATGCAACTCAAACGAGAAGCACTGAGATTTCAGGGCAGTGAAATTCCTCAAATCATAGAGAATAGTGTGAAATGATAATTTACCTCTTTGTCTTTTCTGGTTATTTTGCCAGTTCCCTTGCAAGTCCTACATCTCTCAGTTGGCCCGGTTGCGCCGTATGCTTTACTTGTAAAATGTTTCATTCAATCATGTTATATTTTCTCTACACATAGCTAGTAAAATAAATGGTTATTAGTTGGAAATGTGCCAAGTTAGGGATGAAGGAAGAAAAATCAGAATACATATCGCGAGTAAGAATACTATAACATACCCACATTTTATTTCTTAGAAATGAAACTAATTTACTATAATCCTGAAAATATGCAATAGGATGCAAATTATCTTATATATTATGCTGATGTTATCTGAATCCTTAAAAATACTTTTTTCGAATGTTTATGCTCAAATTTGGAACTGTGTGTTTACCTAAATGATGTCAGGGAAGTATGAACTCATGAAGTGAGACTTCCTTGAAACGCTTTTCTGATTTTGTGGACACCCGGATATATACCACAGAATAACACATTAATAAAAAGCTCCCAAATTTGTGAAATATTTTTCTATTTTTTTGGAATATCCGGTTTTCTACGAATGTGTCTACGATGGAAACTTCTAACGATTTACATGGTATGGACTATGGAGGTTCAATGAAACTATACAATAATATATCAAATGTATTACTTGAAATACTAAATATACAAGACATTGCAAAATGTAGAGTGATAAACTTTGCAGTGACGATAGTTAATTAATTCATATCACATAGCTCACTTAACAGTAACAAATGAACGGACAATTTTCAGATAAATAAAATACGATCCATTTAAAAACGAGATAACATCGCAGTAGAGTGCATCGTTGTATCATTTTAATTTCCAATAATTGAGAATTCACTGGGCCGAATAAACAAATATCGAAAAAAAAAACACGACTCAAATACAAATGTCTAAAAAATCTATTCAAATACAGAATAAAAGTAGATTTCAAAGAATTTACTAAAATTTCGTGATTTATAACTGTATATTTTGTGGCGCCTATATTAAAATTTTATGATCATCATTACACAATAAATATCTGAAACTCATTATTCTTTTCCGAGTGAGTTTTTGAGAAGCACCTCAAATGCAAAAAATATTGGTTACTCTTTACTTAAATAATATTAATAAAATGGAAACTGAAGGCTGGACTATTATAGTTAAAGGCACATTTTGGTTGATTTCACGATTCTCTTGATGTTTACTTGGTAATATTCCCCATTATTACCTAGTATTTTACTTAGTATTAAAGAGTGATTTAATGTAGCTAAGGACGATCCATCCATTTACATGAACTATTGTAAGCAATATAAGGTATAATGTTACAACTTGTTGTTATGTAAAACATAATGTGTATTGAGTGAGCCACATGGTAACTACATCTTCTCATCATATTAATTCATTCCATATTCATACACACTTTACCTCATGATCGTGTCTAATGATCCAGCTACTTAGAACACAGTCTGTTACCTCTCTCGGCTAATTAAAACATTCCTTACACACGTGATGCCCAAATAAGGTGATGTTACATACCAGGTGGTGTCTGCAGAGTTGCAGGTGAAGAGATCAGGTTTTAAAGGGTTATAAGACTGTAGTGTAGTAGTGTAGTAGTGTAGTAGTGTAGTAGTGTAGTAGTGTAGTAGTGTAGTAGTGTAGTAGTGTAGTAGTGTAGTAGTGTAGTAGTGTAGTAGTGTAGTAGTGTAGTAGTGTAGTAGTGTAGTAGTGTAGTAGTGTAGTAGTGTAGTAGTGTAGTAGTGTAGTAGTGTAGTAGTGTAGTAGTGTAGTACTACATCAACTCCTCTCATTATACCATTAGAAATATATTGTACAGTGTACACCCTGTCTAGTATATAGCATTGTATAAAACACGTGGGTATTGTAAAGAATTAGAATTTGTAGGGAGTTCATTGCACAATACTGTCACACTAGGGGACTATTTAACGTTATTGTATTGATAAAATAACGATGTAGAATAAGTGATGTGCTGTTAGCTAGCTTACAGAGTTTGGGAGAATCGTGAAAAATATCCAATATTATGTACACGTTAGGTTTTAAATAGAAACTGGAAAACCGTCTTCATAAAATTGGACTACACCATTAAAATTTACATCTCATCACTTTCCAGGAGCCCACATCACACATGAGAACCCACTTGATGCTTTATATATTCATGTAAAAACTATCAGTTATAATGACACGTGATCAGTTGTAATGACACGTGATCAGTTGTAATGACACGTGATCAGTTGCAATGACACGTGATCAGTTGTAATGACACGTGATCAGTTGTAATGACACGTGATCAGTTGCAATGACACGTGATCAGTTGTAATGACACGTGATCAGTTATAATGACACGTGATCAGTTGTAATGACACGTGATCAGTTGTAATGACACGTGATCAGTTGTAATGACACGTGATCAGTTGTAATGACACGTGATCAGTTGCAATGACACGTGATCAGTTGTAATGACACGTGATCAGTTGTAATGACACGTGATCAGTTGTAATGACACGTGATCAGTTGTAATGACACGTGATCAGTTGTAATGACACGTGATCAGTTGCAATGACACGTGATCAGTTGCAATGACACGTGATCAGTTGTAATGACACGTGATGTTCTTGTTCTGACTGTAATCACAATACACAGGAATAGTCTGCACATCAGAGCTAGAGAAGTAATAATTCCCCACAAAAGCAAGTTTGTAACGTGCGTTAATAGTGACTCTGTACCAGATGTAGTGCCCAGCGAACACATAGCAACAGGTTCTGAAGAGCCGGTCTATTGGGTAGTCGTAGGTCTGGATACTGAAGGGGATGGTGAGCTGGTCAATGTGAGCTGGGATCTCTATCTTGGAGCGCCCTATACTTCCCACCTGTGTAATGGTGTGTTAGAGAGTGTTAGAGAGTGTTAGAGAGTGTAATGGTGTGTTAGAGAATAGAGAGTGTAATCCTGTGTAATGCTGTGTAATGCTGTTACAGTGTGTGTCATGTGGAATGTTAGAGTGAGAGTGTGTAATGTTAGAGTGAGTTTGATGTGTGATGGTGTGGAATGTCATGTGTTGGAGTGTAAAGAATAGATCTGGAAACTGGCATGGTGGGTTACTCTAGTAGCACTACTAGTACTACTACTAGTAGTAACAGAGTGGAGAGGTTATTCTGCTACTAGTACTACTACTAGTAGCAGAGTGTAGTTGAGTAGTTGAGAAGTGCATACTCAACTCTGCTACTATAGTAACCAGAGAGATACTGGCATGGTGGGGAGGTCCCGGAGGTGAGATCTTCTGAAGATTTGTAGGGATAGTGTGGACTATTAGATAATTATAAAGATATAAATAAGTCACATTGAATATATTATATTATGTACACATAATATATTATATTACATATTATTTCCACATCTGTTTTACAAAGTTTATTCATTAACAGTTATATTATAACAAATAAAGTTATCAGAAAAGTCAAACAGTACGTGACATAGCGACAGCTATAAATACAGTTCGTGACTCGTGACACAGTACACCTTGTCAAACAGTTACTGAGTTACCTGTAGAGCTGTTATCAAGTTACAGTTCAACTTGGAAATTACATTTACTGGAGAAATGTAATACCACATACAAAATATATTATATTACATATTATGTACAAAATGTAACATACATTTTAGAAATCTTACCACACAATCATATTAATAAAGTGTCAAAACGATTAAAAATCAAGTTATGAAAGTGATTTGATGAAAGTGAAATTATTTCATTTAAGAAAAGTAATTGTTTACTTTGCCACGACAATTTAAATCAATAATTTTTAACACTCATTATTTCATCCAACTTACACTAAGAGTAGACTATGGGTTTTTGTTCACTGAATTATACAAATTTGTATTAACTGTGGCAATTATAGTGGGTAACTTTCAGCTGCACTATAGAATATTAGTAGAATCTGATCGTCATAAATGCTCGTACTTCAAACTTTTTAGCCATTATTTTGATAAAATTTAACTAATTAATTAATTAATTAACTAATTAATTAATTAGCTATCTTACCTCGAACTGAACTCCTCCGACCCAGGATATAGCAAGACTGATATTGAGAGTATCTATAACAATAGGAAAGTAGTTATCATTAGTTACTGTAACGTTATCTAATAGTGTCAGGATAGTTGGTTTAGTTGTGTCACTGTATACGTCCCCGCTCGCTATCTCCAGCCCTGAGTAATACACACAGTGTTAACATGGTTACATAGAGTGATTACTTAGTACTTAGTACACACATGATACACACAGTGAGTACTTAGTACACACATGATACACACAGTGAGTACTTAGTACACACATACACACAGTGAGTACTTAATACACACAGTGAGTATTGAGGAGTATTTTAATTTTGACTATTTATATTGAGTACATAATTCTAATATTTCATGTAAGGGTAGTGAATTAACCATACAAATACAGCAGCTCACAGTTGGAGTTACCACGTACCTGCAGAAGTAGCTCCAGCGTGCCGAGGGAAGAAGACGAAGAAGAGACACCCAATAATGATAGCCGTTATAACCAGAGCTATAGTTACTTTTAACGTGGTGTGTCGGGGCTGCAACCTCTCGTCTGAGTACGGTATCAGCGCCACCTGAAGGGGGCACAGTGTTAGTACCTCTCGTCTGAGTACGGTATCAGCGCCACCTGAAGGGGTCACAGTGTCAGTACCTCTCGTCTGAGTACAGTATCAGCGCCACCTGAAGGGGCACAGTGTTAGTACCTCTCGTCTGAGTACGGTATCAGCGCCACCTGAAGGGGGCACAGTGTTAGTACCTCTCGTCTGAGTACGATATCAGCGCCACCTGAAGGGGCACAGTGTTAGTACCTCTCGTCTGAGTACGGTATCAGCGCCACCTGAAGGGGCACAGTGTTAGTACCTCTCGTCTGAGTACGGTATCAGCACCACCTGAAGGGGCACAGTGTTAGTACCTCTCGTCTGAGTACGGTATCAGCGCCACCTGAAGGGGCACAGTGTTAGTACCTCTCGTCTGAGTACGGTATCAGCGCCACCTGAAGGGGCACAGTGTTAGTACCTCTCGTCTGAGTACGGTATCAGCGCCACCTGAAGGGGCACAGTGTTAGTACCTCTCGTCTGAGTACGGTATCAGCGCCACCTGAAGGGGCACAGTGTTAGTACCTCTCGTCTGAGTACGGTATCAGCGCCCCCTGAAGGGGTCACAGTGTTAGTACCTCTCGTCTGAGTACGGTATCAGCGCCACCTGAAGGGGCACAGTGTTAGTACCTCTCGTCTGAGTACGGTATCAGCGCCACCTGAAGGGGTCACAGTGTAAGTACCTCTCGTCTGAGTACGGTATCAGCGCCACCTGAAGGGGTCACAGTGTTAGTACCTCTCGTCTGAGTACGGTATCAGCACCACCTGAAGGGTCACAGTGTTAGTACCTCTCGTCTGAGTACGGTATCAGCGCCCCCTGAAGGGTCACAGTGTCAGTACCTCTCGTCTGAGTACGGTATCAGCGCCACCTGAAGGGGCACAGTGTTAGTACCTCTCGTCTGAGTACGGTATCAGCGCCACCTGAAGGGGCACAGTGTCAGTACCTCTCGTCTGAGTACGGTATCAGCGCCACCTGAAGGGTCACAGTGTCAGTACCTCTCGTCTGAGTACGGTATCAGCGCCACCTGATGGGGCACAGTGTTAGTACCTCTCGTCTGAGTACGGTATCAGCGCCACCTGAAGGGTCACAGTGTTAGTACCTCTCGTCTGAGTACGGTATCAGCGCCCCCTGAAGGGTCACAGTGTTAGTACCTCTCGTCTGAGTACGGTATCAGCGCCACCTGAAGGGGCACAGTGTTAGTACCTCTCGTCTGAGTACGGTATCAGCGCCACCTGAAGGGGCACAGTGTTAGTACCTCTCGTCTGAGTACGGTATCAGCGCCACCTGAAGGGGCACAGTGTTAGTACCTCTCGTCTGAGTACGGTATCAGCGCCCCCTGAAGGGGGCACAGTGTTAGTACCTCTCGTCTGAGTACGGTATCAGCGCCACCTGAAGGGGTCACAGTGTTAGTACCTCTCGTCTGAGTACGGTATCAGCGCCACCTGAAGGGGCACAGTGTTAGTACCTCTCGTCTGAGTACGGTATCAGCGCCCCCTGAAGGGGGCACAGTGTTAGTACCTCTCGTCTGAGTACGGTATCAGCGCCACCTGAAGGGGTCACAGTGTTAGTACCTCTCGTCTGAGTACGGTATCAGCGCCACCTGAAGGGTCACAGTGTTAGTACCTCTCGTCTGAGTACGGTATCAGCGCCACCTGAAGGGGCACAGTGTTAGTACCTCTCGTCTGAGTACGGTATCAGCGCCACCTGAAGGGTCACAGTGTTAGTACCTCTCGTCTGAGTACGGTATCAGCGCCACCTGAAGGGGCACAGTGTCAGTACCTCTCGTCTGAGTACGGTATCAGCGCCACCTGAAGGGTCACAGTGTCAGTACCTCTCGTCTGAGTACGGTATCAGCGCCACCTGAAGGGGCACAGTGTCAGTACCTCTCGTCTGAGTACGGTATCAGCACCACCTGAAGGGGCACAGTGTTAGTACCTCTCGTCTGAGTACGGTATCAGCGCCACCTGAAGGGGCACAGTGTCAGTACCTCTCGTCTGAGTACGGTATCAGCGCCACCTGAAGGGGCACAGTGTTAGTACCTCTCGTCTGAGTACGGTATCAGCGCCACCTGAAGGGGTCACAGTGTTAGTACCTCTCGTCTGAGTACGGTATCAGCACCACCTGAAGGGGTCACAGTGTTAGTACCTCTCGTCTGAGTACGGTATCAGCGCCACCTGAAGGGGCACAGTGTTAGTACCTCTCGTCTGAGTACGGTATCAGCACCACCTGAAGGGGCACAGTGTTAGTACCTCTCGTCTGAGTACGGTATCAGCGCCACCTGAAGGGGCACAGTGTTAGTACCTCTCGTCTGAGTACAGTATCAACGCCACCTGAAGGGTCACAGTGTTAGTACCTCTCGTCTGAGTACGGTATCAGCGCCACCTGAAGGGGCACAGTGTTAGTACCTCTCGTCTGAGTACAGTATCAACGCCACCTGAAGGGTCACAGTGTTAGTACCTCTCGTCTGAGTACGGTATCAGCGCCACCTGAAGGGGCACAGTGTTAGTACCTCTCGTCTGAGTACGGTATCAGCACCACCTGAAGGGGCACAGTGTTAGTACTTTTTAGACGGTGGTATTTAGTAGCCACTATTTCAAGGGCATATCGAAACAAGGCTTACTTGAAAAGCTTTCATCCAGATAGGTCTTATCGTCGTGGAGGCATTGATTTTGCAGATTTACATAGTAAGGATAACTACTAAGTAATTTAACGTATCTATCAAACTTTAAGTTTCATGTGTGAAGGAAAACACACACTGCTGACTGCACAGACCGGTAGATTGACATAACTATGTAACATTACATGTGGGTACATGTTACCAGTATAGGTGTTACCAGTATAGGTGTTGCCAGTATAATAGGTGTTGCCAGTATAATAGGTGTTGCCAGTATAATAGGTGTTGCCAGTATAATAGGTGTTGCCAGTATAATAGGTGTTGCCAGTATAATAGGTGTTACCAGTATAGGTGTTGCCAGTATAATAGGTGTTGCCAGTATAATAGGTGTTGCCAGTATAATAGGTGTTGCCAGTATAATAATAGGTGTTGCCAGTATAATAATAGGTGTTGCCAGTATAATAATAGGTGTTGCCAGTCACCAGTTTGGTTTGTTACCTACCAGTTCATTAGTAGTTTCCTTGTAGCCGGATCCCTTACAACTGATACACGTTACTAGCTGGTTGTCATCCTTCTTAAACCACGAGGTAGTTCTGTTTACACCTGAGGAATGTAACAATGACTACATTTTATTAACATTTGTTATTAAAAACCTGTCCACATAAGCGTGTCGAAGCGTGTAGTAAATGTTAGAATTTATTTATTTATTTATTATTATATTATATAGTAATTCGTTTAACTGCCTTCGTGTGTGTTATTGTGTGTTGTGTAGTGTGTGTGTAACTATACCTTGAGATAAGGTTTAATTGTTACATTGTTCCGTTTTTTAAGTCCCATTTGGGATTTTTACACATGACGCTTACAAACCTTCCGTTTCGATAATATTATATTAATCAACTTGGCAATATTAAATAGTGGGCAACTTGCCAAATAGTGCCCATTGGTTAGTGTTGTATGGTACAAATATCTATTCAGGGTTCGTATCTACTTATATTTATTAACCTCCGATACCAGAGCTGGTGGAGGGAGGCGGAGTTACCATGGTTACAACCCCCCATATACATTGTTACCATGGTTACAACCCCCCATACACATTGTTACCATGGTTACTTGTATCTATTTACCTCCGATACCAGAGCTGGTGGAGGGAGGAGGAGTTGAAGTGAGGATCTTGTGGAAATCGTTCTCCTCATTATTAGTTCCACTCATCTCTTATTTGTACCACAATACATAGTTCAATACCATTTAGCTATAGGGAAAGAGAATATCACAAATATTATCTAAAAGCTGAAAGTACCAATTACTACACTCTGCTACTAGAGGTAGTATCGTGGAGCACCACATACCACATGACATGTAAGATGAAGTAATTTAAACAATAACACGTGCTGTACCATTGTTGGGGGGGCGGAGGGAACCAACCCCATCGATACCCATTTTAACAAAAATTGAGGAATAAATGTGGAAAATGGTTATCATTTTTCGGTCAAAATCTAGAGAAACCTTTGATGCAATGAAATTTTGAATATGTCATACCGGTAGGACATATTCGAATTTCAGCTTTCCGCGACCCAAATTTCACTGTTTTGACTGAATTTTTCTTGAATGACCATCTTACAAGGTCACTGAGGCTGGCACAAGACACGATTGAGGTTCTCAAAGTTCTATTCCCAAAGAAAGCTTTGATAAACGGAAAATCATCAGAATATAAAAAGAGATTTTGGAATATTTTTGAAGAGAAGCTTTTCTGCCGTCCCTTTACCGAAATTTCGAATTTAAGATTTAAGATCGTTCATAATTAAGAAAATAAAACTAAGAACAAAACAATTTTAATCGAGATTTGTATAAAAATCAAGTCTGTAACTGGTTAATACTTCAATAATCCACATTGTTACCATGGTTACAAACTCCCCCCCCCCCCCATAACACATTGTTACCATGGTTACAACCCCCCCCCCCATACACACTGTTACCATGGTTACAAACCCCCCTCCATACACACTGTTACCATGGTTACAAACCCCCCTAATACACATTGTTACCATGGTTACAAACCCCCCAATACACATTGTTACCATGGTTACAAACCCCCCAATACACATTGTTACCATGGTTACAACCCCCCAATACACATTGTTACCATGGTTTCAAACCCCCCTCCATACACATTGTTACCATGGTTACAAACCCCCCCCCCCCATACACATTGTTACCATGGTTACAAACCCCCCCCTCCATACACATTGTTACCATGGTTACAAACCCCACATACACATTGTTACCATGGTTACAAACCCCCATACACATTGTTACCATGGTTACAAACCCCCCATACACATTGTTATCATGGTTACAACCCCCCCCCTCATACACATTGTTACCATGGTTACAAACCCCCCTCCATACACATTGTTACCATGGTTACAAACCCCACATACACATTGTTACCATGGTTACAAACCCCCATACACATTGTTACCATGGTTACAAACCCCCCTATACACATTGTTACCATGGTTACAAACCCCCCATACACATTGTTACCATGGTTACAAACCCCCCCTCCATACACACTGTTACCATGGTTACAAACCCCCCCCCCTCCATACACACTGTTACCATGGTTACAAACCCCCCTCCATACACATTGTTACCATGGTTACAAACCCCCCCTCCATACACACTGTTACCATGGTTACAAACCCCACATACACATTGTTACCATGGTTACAAACCCCCCTCCATACACACTGTTACCATGGTTACAAACCCCCCCTCCATACACACTGTTACCATGGTTACAAACCCCCCCCCCCCCTCCATACACACTGTTACCATGGTTACAAAACCCCCCCCCCCCTCCATACACACTGTTACCATGGTTACAAACCCCCCTCCAATGCCCTCCATACACATTGTTACCATGGTTACAAACCCCCCTCCATACACACTGTTACCATAGTTACAAACCCCCCATACACATTGTTTCCATGGTTACAAACCCCCTCATACACATTGTTACCATGGTTACAAACCGCCCAGCCCCCCCCCCCCCCACAACACATTACAACAATCAACTTTATTTACACTTAAATATCATTTTCAACAATATTCTGATAAAAAAATAAAAATACTAATAATGTTCAGGTTATGGCAGACACAATCACGATATCATTGCTACAATCGGAAAATTTGCTGGCATGCTAGATCTTAGTGTCGATCCATAAATGTTTTTGCCATGAAACGGACCAAACTGATCCTAACTCATATTCCACTCATCATAGCATATCGCTTCAGCATGTACAAAGGGCATAACCTCAATCAGTTTAATGTAGTGAAATGACTGGTGTGAATGAAGTAGTGTACTAATACAAGTTGGAGAGGATCAGGTAAGCTTAGTCAGCATCCATGATGTTACAAACCCTCTGGGACATTACTGCGCCCAGTCTCCAAAGTTACAGTAAATTCCTACTACGGACAAACAAACACAGACAAAACACCAACAAGAAACTGATATACACTAGCTAGCTCAGAGAGGAAATGAGTACCGGCTCAGGAGGTATGTCAAAACAGGGCGCCCTTTCGAACACTACTCGGGCTAGAATCAGTGCAATTCGGACACTACTATGCAACTGAACCATGCAGTGTCGATCCCATAGTTGATAGTCACCAAATTGTCATTTGTAATCGTGTTAAAAGGATATATAAAAATAAAAACAAGGTCTTCACTGCCAAACTTTAGCCTGAACATTACTTAAAAAACAGCAGCTTTTTAAATATTTAGCATGCGTACAAATAGATTTGAATGTGATTTTTAAAAACGGGTACAAAATCTGGGTGAGTAATCACGGAAACCAGCCGTCAGAAATCAAAGACTTAAGGTCCTGAAATGAGTTTTCAACAGCACAAAAATTAAAAGAACTTATCAACTTATCTTCCTCAAAATTAAACAAACATATCTTCCAAATTCTGCATCATCCTATTCCTCCCATCTCTATGGCAACTATTAAAAGTCTCGCACGTAATATTCTTAGTTCCCATATTATCAAAATAATTACAATTATCAAAACCCAACTTATCACTGCTCACAAAGTTAGAAAAATAGTTAAACTTGCCCACGTGCAATGTGTAATGAAGTGTAATGGAACTGAACATGTGGATTTTACCACACTGCGTGTATTGTCTGCAGCACTTGCAAGTGAGGAGGTAGTCACTGTATTTACCACTACCATTCTGGGGGGTCTTGATGTCGTAAGCCGAAGAGTACACTTTGTGTCCCCCAACTGTGAAGTTGCCGTGCACTATGGAACCTACTTCTATCTGGTCGTTTACCTGTGAAGAGACAGGGATACAAGTTAAAATAAAAGTTATCATTCTTCAGCTAGGTTATTATTGTCTAGGTACCAAAATGTTGTATGTAATTTAAAGATCAAAATGAATATCTCCGAAAACTTACATCCCACTTGAGGTCGACTTGAAGTTTGTTGACAGTAATAGAGAGGAACCTGTTCCTATTCTCCACCATTACATCAACCTGCCATGTAATATTGGATCTGCTATCTTCGTACTTTTCAATATATCAAACGAGTAGAGGTTTTCATTGTAGTCAGCAACAGAAGCGTTGACAATGGTCAAGTTAGTGGTAGTAACTATCACCTTCCCAGGCAGGAATATGTAAGTTGAGACACCAAGTAACACAGCACACACCACCAGAGCAAAGAGGATCTTACATTTGGTGAAGCGGGGTTTAAGACGCTCGTCACTGTAGGGTATCAGAGCTACCTGAAGTAGTGCAACATAAAGTCACTGTAGGGTATCAGAGCTACCTGAAGTAGTGTAACATAAAGTCACTGTAGGGTATCAGAGCTACCTGAAGTAGTGTAACATAAAGTCACTGTAGGGTATCAGAGCTACCTGAAGTAGTGCAACATAAAGTCACTGTAGGGTATCAGAGCTACCTGAAGTAGTGTAACATAAAGTCACTGTAGGGTATCAGAGCTACCTGAGGTAGTGTAACATAAAGTCACTTTAACAAACGACTTTATGTGAAATTAATGTTTTGAGAATCTAAAAGTCAAAGCAGGAACATGAACTTTAACTGTAGAATCAGGTATATTATAAGTAGTAGTAGTATAGTGATATTAGCAACAGTAGTATCTATTTTACCAGATCAGTAGAAGCGTCCTTGACACCTGAACCCCTGCAACTAGGGCAGGTTATCATTCCATCTCCACTAAACGTTCTCTTTCTCTTCTCCAGCCACGACTGCCGTCTTGTCAAGTCTGAGAGAGTTTTAATGTCTGATTTGTTAGTTATTATAACTTAATACAAGGTTGAAAGTATGTTTCTTATCGAAATGCAAACGGGATATTCAATATTTACTAATGTTCTCATGAGTAATGAGGGTCTTACCTTTTTTCATATCATTTGGTGACGTGGTTAAGATCTTGGTGAACGCATTTTCGTCTTCTGGTGATATCATCTAGTACTTAATAGTGTCTAGTAGTGCTTCAGACTCTTTATAGTTGTTTATAGTCGTTATTTTACTTGTAGAGTTCTCGTTAGTACGTAGTCGTAAACATGCTAAAAAAGAGATTTATAAATTAAATTTAAATTTTATCTCTATTATGTGTTCTGCTGAAAATAGATAATATATAATTATTACGATATTCGAGAAAAACTTGGAGATAATCTAATGAATGAATAAAACGCTCAAGCATTGTGCACTTTTAGCATACATATCAAATTTCAAAGTTCGTACATTATCATAATCATTAACATAATCTTACATTTAACACAATAACAAAGATCTGATTAAAAATTAAAAACCCCAAAATACCTTTTTAATCACAGCAGGTATTTACTGCACACCATCATGTACTTTATTACAAATTTCTGTCAATTAATCACAAAATACAAATATCATCAAATATTTCTTTTTTTAAATCAAAAACCAACTGAATAAATCTATTTTTTGTTCAATATCATTTTTTTCTAGAGACGGTTTTGCAGTTTTGAGGGAAACATAGCCAAGGGTACTTGAACGATATCAGTACGTACCCACAAACACCCATAGCAACACCCAACACCTTCTCAATGGGTGTATGAAAGTACAGCGTCGTCATTATCATCATCAAATTAAAAATACTGAAGATAACAAAGACAATACTCGTAACAAATCTATCCATGAACTGTAACAATACATCAGGCACAACACATTTCTCCTGGTTCTCAGTCTCAGTCCGCTTTATCGTTTTAACTGGTTCGTCATCTTCATTGTCACTTGATAAAGTTTCAGCAGGAGTCACTATTTCGACTGCCTTTATAAAATGTTCTGGTCTATAGAAACGCTCCTCTTCGTAGGCTATTAAAAGACAACAGAAGACCATCATGAAGATGTGACCTGGAATTTTTAGGTATTAACTAAGTAGAATGAATGTGAGCTGGTAGCACACTATTTGAAATTAAACTTATGATTTCAACATAGTACAAAACTCATAAAGAGCTGAAGTGCTAATAGAACATTATGCATTAGAATTACAACTGTCATGACTTACATTATAGAACAATTCTAACCTGAAATATCTAGATCTGGTACCCACTGACCATTCATTTCATTTCTGCATTTTACTTTATTTGACTCTGTTGTAACATTAGCACCCGTTTCACATATCCCGTAACTGTCTTTAATATAATCTACCGATTTTGTCCCAGTGAACCTGAACACATTATTCCAAACAAGTTGTGATAATAAATAATGAAAGTCAACAGACAAAGTAAAGATTTATATCTTTAGAATGATATCAACTCAACCATGTTAGACGCCACCAATGTAATTATGGTTTAACCATCGTGTTTTGGTTCAGCCGAAATAAATTTTACTATGATGTTTTATATAATGTTTCTCACTCCAGCTGCAGTCTGGTAGTGTTGACTGTTGAGCCTGACGAATATTTTTCTAGCTCTCATTTTCCATGTTTTTTTGCCTCACAGGAGATATTGTGGTCTTTTGTAAATGTAACTGTAATACATTGATTTACTAGAACATTTATTTACTGAGCTTACCAAATAAATGTTCCAGCCACAAAGTGGAGCCACACTGCACAGTAATCTTTATTATCAATGAGCTGCCGCCAAAGTTTTATAGTAAACAATGTTAAACACAGGAATAGGGACCATCCCCAGCATAACTTGACAAAGTACTGAAATAAAATGAAAAATTAGATACATTTTTGAAGGTTGGACTACCAGAAATAATTTAATTCTAGAAACACTAATATAACTGATTTAGATCTGATAAGTAATGCATCCAATATTACAAGCATGGAAACGATAAACATTTCACTTTAAATGGAGTGTGAATTAGATGAATTATGATAAATTTAACAGCATTTTGTGAAGAGGTCTCACCTGATTTAGTATATTGAACTTGTCACAGAAAATGGAAAAACATGGAATCTTCCAAGCATCTGAAGCTAGACTACCAATAACAACTCCAACAATGTATATTGCAGCTAAACAGTTAGTGACAGGTATAGTCATGCTGGGGAGTATTCAATATAATTTTAGCAGGCGTGTAAAACCTTATATATAATGAATGATTCACAATTTCTTATATTCTTGATTGGATACATTTTTACAATTAGTGGTAATTAATAGTGGTCATTTTAAAATTTGATATACATTTTGGATTTAAAGAACGAATTTTGTTTGATATAGTGATTGTTCCAAATGTTTTGAAGACTATTGTGATGAAGTTTTACAGCCTCACTTGTGTATTTCCCTTTGTGTCTAAAAACAGCATACTGATATCTACTATATACTATATGAATATAACTAAGACAGAATATAGAGAAACAAATTGTTCTGCGTTTTAACAAAATAACATTATTTATCATTTTTAGTTACGCAGTCTTGGACTGACAGACAGCAGCTGTCTGACAGCTGGCCCAATTCAAGAGTCTATATTATTTCAAAGAACATTAGCAATTAGTGAAACAAATTTTTTTAGTGAAACAAATTTAAAATTTTATCCTTTATTTTACAATCATAATATAATAATATTTATAAGCCTCCGTTTTGAAAGTTTTAAATTTTAATACATTCACATTTCTATTTAAAATTCAATTTTATGTTCAAGTCAATAACTGGCCGCCAAAGCCGCGCATTCTTGAAAACAGGATTAACTTGATTATAGTTATACGACTATGTAAATTAAAAACTATCAGTGGTTTTTTCTTTTAAATAAATAAATTATAATTTTACCTAAGTCCAAAGCCAGCTTTGAAAAATATACTATTAAATCATAATATATCGTCAACTTTAAATATTTACAATGCAACAATTCATTAATCTGTAAACACGCGTACTCCAGCCCCTAAACGCATAAATTGTTATTAGACTGACCTGAATTTTCACTTTTTTGTCCGATCATCTTGGAAAGTTTTTTGTACATCCCCATAGACGTAAATAGTAACCAAAAAAATTATTTTTGAAAAATTCGGAAATTTAGGTGTTCCCCAAGCCGTTTCCATGACAACCGCTCTCGCGAACCTCAGAAATCTGGAAAAATTCGATATCTCAGGACCCATTGCACCTACAGAGCTAAAATTAGGCTTAAAAGATGCGGAATCAGCACATTTAAATGAGACTTATTAATAAACATATAGCCTAAAGTGCTCACTTTAGTCAAAAATTGCAAAAAACACATTTTTTGTACATTTCCATGGCAACCACGCCCTAAAATTTGGATGTGCATCTCTATTTTTCAGTCAAACTATGAACAGCTCAGAACTACAGGGGGATAACTACAGGGGGGAGAACTAGAGGGGAGAGAACAGCTCAGTACTACACCTGAGGAAGAACTACTACAGCTTAGAACTACATAATTCTGAGCTGTTCCCCCATGTAGTTCTCCCCCTCCTCTGTAGTTCTCCCTCCTGTAGTTCTGAGCTGTTCTCTCCCTGTAGTTCTGAGCTGCTCCCCCTGTAATTCACCCCCTGTAGTTCTGAGCTGTTCTCTCTCCATGTAGTTCTTTTGAGCTATTCTCCCCCCTCCCTGTAGTTTCTTCTGAGCTGTTCCCCCTGTAGTAGTGACGATCTTGCACTGACAACAGACACCGCAGAGCAAGCGCAAGATCTTCTCCTCAGTGTGGAGCTGGCTGCTAACTCCGTTGGACTTCACCTCAACGAGAGTAAGACGAAGTACATCAGAGTCAATCTCGCTGAGTCTGACTCTACCGTCATTAAAGCAGCAAGTGGGCAGGAGATAGAGCAAGTAGATGACTTTGTCTACCTTGGAAGCAGAATAATGAGTGCGGAGAAGGACTTTGATGTTAGGAAAGCAAAGGCATGGGGGGCCTGTCATCAGTTAAAGACAACCTGGAAGTCTGGAATGCGCAGGGACTTAAAGATCCGTGTCTTTCGAGCAGCGGTTGAGCCTGTACTCCTGTACGGCTCTGAAGCTTGGACGATAAGCCAATCCATGACTAAGCGGATCAATGGATGCTACACTAGAATGCTCCGGATGGCCTTGAACATACGTTGGCCACAAATCATCAACAACAGTGATTTATACGGCAACATCCCCAAGCCATCAGCGATGATAGCCTCCAGAAGAATGAGACTGGCTGGACATGTAGCCAGGCATGACGACCTTCTGGCAAACCAACTTCTGTTCTGGGACCCTCAGCATGGATACAGGAGACCGGGGAGGCCCCACCTTACGTTTCTGGACATGCTAAAGAAGGACACCAGCCTTTCCTGTGTTGAAGAGATAAGATCTGTTATGCTTGACCGCGACGTGTGGCGAGGAATTGTAGTTGCTCGGACCAAGAAGCCGACTTAAGTCAAGTAAGTCAGTGTTCCCCCTGTAGTTACCCCTCCCCTGTAGTTCTCCCTCCCTGTAGTTCTGAGCTGTTCTCTCCCCTGTAGTGCTCCCCCTGTAGTTCTGAGCTGTTCTCCCCCTGTAGTGCTCCCCCTGTAGTTCTGAGCTGTTCTCTCCCCATGTAGTTCTTTTGAGCTATTCTCCCCCCTCCCTGTAGTTTCTTCTGAGCTGTTCCCCCATGTAGTTCTCCCCCTCCCCTGTAATTCTCCCCCCCCCCCTGTAGTTCTGAGCTGTTCTCCCCCCCTGTAGTTCTCCCCCTGTAGTTCTGAGCTGTTCTCCCCCTGTAGTTCTGAGCTGTTCTTCCCCTGTAGTTCTTCTGAGATGTTCTCTCCCCTGTAGTTCTCCCCCCTGTAGTTCTGAGCTGTTCTCTCCCCTGTAGTTCTCCCACCCTGTAGTTCTGAGCTGTTCTCCCCCTGTAGTTCTTCCTCCTGTAGTTCTGAGCTGTTCTCCCTTGTAGTTCTTCTGAGCTGTTCTCTCCCCCGTAGTTCTTCTGAGCTGTTCTCTCCCTGTAGTTCTCCCACCCTGTAGTTCTGAGCTGTTCTGCCCCTATAGTTCTCCCTCCTGTACTTCTGAGCTGTTCTCCCCCTGTAGTGCTTCCTCCTGTAGTTCTGAGCTGTTCTCCCCCCTGTAGTTCTCCCACCCTGTAGTTCTGAGCTGTTCTCTCCGCTGTAGTGCTCCCCCTGTACTCTGTAGTTCTGAGCTGTTCTCTCCCCTGTATTTCTCCCTCCTGTAGTTCTGAGCTGTTCTCCCCCTGTAGTTCTTCCTCCTGTAGTTCTGAGCTGTTCTCCCTTGTAGTTCTTCTGAGCTGTTCTCTCCCCCGTAGTTCTTCTGAGCTGTTCTCTCCCTGTAGTTCTCCCACCCTGTAGTTCTGAGCTGTTCTCCCCCTGTAGTGCTTCCTCCTGTAGTTCTGAGCTGTTCTCCCCCCTGTAGTTCTCCCACCCTGTAGTTCTGAGCTGTTCTCTCCGCTGTAGTGCTCCCCCTGTACTCTGTAGTTCTGAGCTGTTCTCCCCCTGTAGTTCTCCCTCCTGTAGTTCTGAGCTGTTCTCCCCCTGTAGTTCTGAGCTGTTCTCCCCCTGTAGTTCTGAGCTGTTCTCTCCCCTGTAGTTCTCCCTCCTGTAGTTCTGAGCCGTTCTCCCCCTGTAGTTCTCCCTCCTGTAGTTCTGAGCTGATCTCCCCCTGTAGTTCTCCCTCCTGTAGTTCTGAGCTGTTCTCCCCTTGTAGTTCTTCTGAGCTGTTCTCCCCCCTGTAGTTCTCCCCCCCCCCCCCCCCCCCTGTAGTTCTGAGCTGTTCTCCCTCCTGTAGTTCTTCCTCGGGTGTAGTACTGAGCTGTTCTCTCCCCTCTAGTTCTCCCCCTGTAGTTATCCCCCTGTAGTTCTGAGCTGTTCATAGTTTGACTGAAAAATAGAGATGCACATCCAAATTTTAGGGCGCGGTTGCCATGGAAATGTACAAAAAATGTGTTTTTTGCAATTTTTGACGAAAGTGAGCACTTTAGGCTATATGTTTATTAATAAGTCTCATATAAATGTGCTGATTCCGCATCTTTTAAGCCTAATTTTAGCTCTGTAGGTGCAATGGGTCCTGAGATATCGAATTTTTCCAGATTTCTGAGGTTCGCGAGAGCGGTTGTCATGGAAACGGCTTGGGGAACACCTAAATTTCCGAATTTTTCAATAATAATTTTTTTGGTTACTATTTACGTCTATGGGGATGTACAAAAAACTTTCCAAGATGATCGGACGAAAAAGTGAAAATTCAGGTCAGTCTAATTGTTATGCGGCGCGGCTCAAGCCGCGCACGCACGTATTATTTTATACTGTTTGCTTTCTAATAAATATCGTGCCAATGTGTACGTCTAAATTGTAAACGTTCATGTTTTGTGTAAAGTGAATCCAATTGGGACTAGTGACAAGGATAAGGACCCAAGTGCCTGTACGGCTTTTTCGGGCCCCTGTGGACCACTACTCTTGAAATCACTCTACAACATTGAACATCTATATCTACTACGTCATTTGGCAATTATTGTCATTAATCTAACTTTCTAATTAATTGCCGAGGGGGAAGAGTAAACGCTTCACATTAAAATTCAATATACAAAATTCAAAACCATCAATACGGTATTAAATATTATGGACAAGTCTATAGATCTATTTCGTAGTCATATATTCACATGATTTGCTTTATATTATATTATTTTAATACTGTAATGAAGTACAGTAGGATTTGTGTTTCGAGAAAGAAAGGTTGCGGTCAAATTATTAACAAAAGTAAACAAAAGTCCATCAGGGACTCCGTGGAGTCGAAAAAGGTACACGGCTGCTGTCTGGTGCTGCTAGGCATTTATTGATCAAGATGTTTTATTGTATTGATTTATAATGATTCTATTGTTCGTGACTAATCAAGTTCTAAATGGAGGTATAAAGTGCTGCTCAAGATACTTCGTCATCTCATGTCCAGTATAATGATTAAGATAGTATACAATGCAGTTTTAGTAGTTGACCCATACAGTTAAGTCCGTCATAACTCACAATCGTTAAGTCGTCGGTCAATTGTCAAAGTCGTTGTGTGTTTATTCGTTGAGATAGCAGTAAGATAAGATGTTACGCGCACGCGCGTTTAATCCCGTCGACGTGAAATGTGACAATGAAAACGCCATAGAA